TATTTGCGAACACTTTAAAAATTCCCGGGCTTCGCATTTGCGACTGGCCAATTTTCGCATTTGCGAACCACCTGGTCGCATTTGCGATCAGGCTGCACAGTTCCCTTTTCTCGCATTTGCGATGCAAGGCTTGCATTTGCGAGCTCGCATTTGCGATACCTTCTTCGCAAATGCGAAGCCTGCAGATCAGAAATACCAGATTTTTTTCAAAGTTCAAAAATGCACCCGTGGCCTAACCAAAACTCACCCGAGCCCTCGGGGCTCCAAACCAAATATGCACACAACCTCAAAAATATTCTACGGACTTATTCGTGCGATCAAATCGCCAAAATAACATCATAAACATCGAATTAAACCGCAAAATTCATGAATTCTTTCAAACTTCATAAAACATCAAATTTTCCAATTTAGGTCCGAATCACGTCAAACGACATCCGTTTTTCACCAAATTTCACAGAAACATCTTAAATCATATATAAGACATGTACCGGGCACCGGAACCAAAATACGGGCCCGATCCTAACATGTTCTAATCAAATTTCATTTCAAATTTCCTTAAACAATTTCAGAAAATAATTTCTTTCAAAAATTCATTTCTCGGGCTTGGGACCTCAGAATTCGATTCCGGGCATACGCCCAAGTCCCATATTTTTTCTACGGATCCTCCGGGACCGTCAAATCACGGGTCCGGATCCGTTTATCCAAAACGTTGACCAAGGTCAAATTTATTCATTTTAACATCAAAACTTAGCATTTTTCACAGAATTTCATATTTAAGCTTTCCGGCTACGCGCCCGGACTGCGCACGCAAATCGAGGCGGCTCTAAATGAGGTATTCAAGGCCTCGGAGACACAAAATTCAATTAAAAACAGGTGATGACCCTTTGGGTCATCACAGATCTATACCCCACTTAAGTAAATCTATTTTCACTTCTTCTCTTATTTTCTTACGCACATGGTTACAGTTATTGCACGGACATTGAATTCTTATACCAATATTAGGATTTGAAAATGCAAAGTTCAAAAATTGTTCCACCCCATTCAAGTATTCTGGTAATTCCCCATTCCTAAGAAGTATCCAACTTTTATCCATCATATAATAACCTACAAAAATATAAAATGATAACCGTCCCTCAATTATTTGCTGTCAATTTACCAAAAAAATAAAATAAGAAAAAGTTCAGAGAAAGACTCTATGTCAAAATATTGTTAAAATAACAGCATATAACTTGAACGAACAGTGATACAACTGAAAGAACATATTACAGATGAATAGCAATCAGAAAGACTCACCAGAAATTGTAGACGAGAAATAGTGAAGAAAATTGAATAGCAGAACCAGTTGCTCAGAGTTGTAGAACAATAAAGGAGAAAACCTAGCTAGAATGGTAACTGAAATAGGCTAAGGATTAAGGGAAAGATAATTGAAATAAAAACTGGTTTTCGTTGAAAATAGGTTTGCCGAGTTTCTTTTGGCGGAAAGTTGAAAATACTTAGCTAAACTTTAGGCCACTAACTAAACCTATCGAAACCTAAGGCGTGAAAAACTTGTCGAGAAAATTAAGGATTCTACCAACAAGAAATAGAAATTATTGCCAATTTATTATATTTTAAAACTACTATATTTTCACATAAAATATGGAACCAACAAAAAAACCTATCCAGAATGGCAACTAAAAGAGTGGGCTAAAAATTCAGAAAAAGTAATTAACAAGAGAAAATTTTACCGCGTTCAATTTTGGCGAAAAACTGAAAAATAGTTACTAAGTTTTAGGCCAATACCCACCCATATTGTTGGCAAAAGTAAATTGTATTGCCAACAATACAAATTTATTGTTGCCAATTCTATTTATATTTTAAATTTATTATATTGTCCATAAAATATGACAATAAGAATATAAAACATTTGTATCAAAGAAAAGATCATGGCTAAAAACTCTATGTTATTGCAACAATTTTATCAGGTTGTTGTCATTTATTACAATAAGCCAACAACACTGATTGTTGCAAAAAAGTTGTTGCTAATTTTTTTTAATTTAAAATTTATTATCTAAACGATAGAATATGACAACAATATTATAATGTTTGCTAACAAGAAAAATTTTGTGTTTAAAAGTTATACGATATAGCAAAGTTGTTGCTATTTGTCGATTTTTGCCAACAAAATTATAGTTGTTGCTAAAAAATTGTTGCAAATTTCATACTTTCTTGTAGTGAGGCTTGATGTTACTCATGCCATGCTCAAGTTTGAAGACATTGGTTTAAGGGAGGCTGTTGGAAATTAAACCAAGATTAGTTAATATTCCTATGTCGTATAGGATTTGGTATTTACTAATTTATTTAAGTTATGTCTAATTAATTCACAGTCAAAATCATATAGGAATAGATTTTTCAGATTCTAGTCAAATTTGGATTGTAGTATTATAAATAGGGGTGCTACTACATATTTTCTATTATAGAGAGGTAACTACGATGTAGAGAGATTCAAAAGTTTATGAGTTGTGAAAAAACCTCTTACCACGTTCTCTCCCTAGTTTAATAAATTTTTTCTATATAATCTTTATCGAATTTTTTTGCTTGTGCCTAAATTATTCCTATGGTATTTCAATCCTTCAAAATATCAGGTGAAAACATTCAAACTTTCGTATCTCTTCGTAGTGAATCACCTGAATTCCCCAACCAAGAGCTACGGTGAGATAAATAGAATCACTTTATTCTTAATTTAAGATCTTAGGTTCAACTTGAAAATAGAAAAAAATCATGGTCGAACACTTTTCTCTTAAATAGGCTTTACACATCACAAATATAACAAATTAAAATAATTATCCAAAACTCTAATATGAATGCGTGAAACAAAAGAAATCTTCTGAATTCTGAAGAAGTATATACTTTTAATAATAAATAGAGAAAATGAAAATAACATTGGGGTCATACAGTGCTCTACCTGCCACCTTAATATGGACCCACGTCTTTTATATTTTCGTGTCAGCCAGAGCACTGTTGAAAACAGTCGATACGAAAGACATTCAAAATATTCGGGAAGATTGTTGAGCAATATTTGGAATCTGGAATTTTTAGTCAATCGGTATATTTTACTCAATATAACAGTTTCACCCACCAACCCATCAAATTTGTATTTCTCTAACAGTATATATATATAAAAACAAAAATTTGGTCAAGCGTAACATGCTTTTAAATAATGTGGTGGGTGAGGGGAAAAAATCATGTTAGGACCCCATATAAAAAGAAAAACAAAAAACTCCCTCTGGTCTAGTTCAATAGTTTTAATTTGAGTCGGTACATTTGTTAAAGGGAAGAGTTTAAAAAGAAGTCGCGTTGAGTAAAATTTTGAACATATGTTAACTTTGCTGTTTTGAGAAGATAAAATTAAAAAACTATTGTATTAATTAAGCAAAAAAGAATTATCTATAATATCTATCTTTTTCCAACCACAAAACAAAGTCTCATGTTACTTTTTAAAATTTTGAGAAAGAAAGTGGATAGAATTTGAGGACTAATAATACAGTAATTATCTTCATATCAGTAACAAATGAATGTTATTTAACTGCTTACCAAAAAATAAAAAAGAATGAGAATTAACTTATATTATTAGTATAAAAAAAGTTTAGACTATTGATATACACATTTCGTTTATTGAGAGTCAATTTGACTAAACTTTGAAGCTAAATAAAATTAGTTCAACTCAATATTTTAAAATTAAAATTTAGATATTAAAAAATTATACAAAAAATATTATAGGTTGTAATTTTTCTCATGTCAATATGATTAATTAAATATATTTTAAAATATTAGTCAAACTTCATACAGTTTGACTTGCGATAGGTGAAATGCGTCATCAAAATTGAAACAAAGGGATCATATATCTTATTTTTTATATTATATATTAGTTTCACTTATTATATATATTCTCTATAATTATCTTTTAAGTGATTTACAGTTTAGTATATAGAAGTGTTAGGTATATAGAAGTTAAACGCAAATGAATTAGATTTAAGTTACATATACTATGAGTGTAAAGATTGTATTATCCGTGTCTGTAAAGTATAGACATGTTATAACAGATTGCTTCCATTGACGTAAGTCGTAAGAGTAGCAATTAGTGTTTGTATATAAATTATTATCGTTTGACTCGAATGAATATAGTATATGAAGTTAAACGCGACAACGTAAGCTAAGCTGAAGTGCTCAAATAAACACGTGAAGATCCCCATACCCATTAATCAAATTAAATGGGTAATTGTTTTTTGGATCAAACCCAGAAGTTTAACACACATTCCAAAACCGATCTTTGTGAACCAGCATTTGACAGCAAACTAATGGCCCCGTAGATTTGTAAACGCTCATTATCATTAAACGCAACACTCAAACCCAGAGAAAAAAGTAGAAAGTTACAAAAGCTAGCGTAGAAACTTTGCAATTACTTGCAAGCAAGCTACTTCCTACTCTCTTTTTTCGACTCTTTATTTTCTTCCTTTTTTTTTTAATCTTTTTTGTCGAAGAATTCTGATGAGGCTAGGGTTTATCTAATTACGGTACCCAGAAAAAGAATGATTTTGGGGAACCCTAAGAAATCCTGAAAGAAGAACAATAAAAGACACATTTGTCTTCTGACTATTTCTACGTTGGACCCACCAACGAGAATGCTGCTTCTACGGATTTAACAACGTCGTATTTTTCTCCTCCCACCTTCTATATATTTGTCAACAGAAAAAAAGTCGGTTGACAAATAAATATTAATTAATTACTCGTAAGTTAAGTAAACCGGCCAACGTCCAACGTCTAACGTCGGCATGATAGAACACGTTGTTTTGCCGTTAATTCCGCCTCTAGCATGTAGCATGTCATTGCAATTAATTTGTGTATCATAACATGAGGAATCTACAATAAATAATATAGATCAAATAGACATGTTTAAATATCAGTACTCATTATCACCATCATGTGGATTAAATGATTGACATTTCAAGAAAGATATACTATGAGATAATCATGTAGTACTAATTTGAACATTGAACAGTTCAAGAAGATTCGCTGCAGATATCCGATCTTCGATACATTTACAAAAGTTATGATAAACCACTTCTCGTCCATCACATGGACAGAGTGCACCCTCTACATACAAAAATACAAAAAAGAAAATTAAAAAGTATTTTGATCATACAAAAAAATATTGGGAACTCAACATCTAAATGTTGAGTAAAAAAATCATCTGGACAAGGGTATGTTCACACTGGTCTATCGTTCTCTTTGACGGTCGTTAAACGATAGCCGAAAAACCCACTTGGAGAATGACTTCTTCTTTGAACTTGTTGTGTTAGATTGTTGATAAGTTTGATGACTTGGATTATTGTTGGTACTGATAGCAGTGGACTCCACAAAAGACTTCATACGTCGCATGGCGAGGTTTAGTGTATCCTCGGACATGTTAGCAAAACATGCACGAAACCAACCTGGTTCATTACAATGGCATGATGATCCAGGCGAAATGTTTAGGCCAACATCGTACACTATTTTCTTCCATAAGTCAATTTCAGCTTCAAATGTGTTAGAGCTAAGTAAATGCCTCATGTCAACCCAACAAAATAAACCAGCATTGCTTTCGAGGCAGCTAATACCAGCATTTTTAAGACCCCGTACAAGCATTGCATGTCGTTTCTTTAGCCTCTTCTGATTTTCAGAGATGTATTTTTTCGTGAATTTTTTGTCGGAGAGCATGGCTGATAGAAGGTACTGAGTTTGGGAAGAAACTAAACCGAAACTGGACATCTTTGTTGCCGCAGAGACAACCATCTCGTCGTTGGAGTAAATTGCACCAACTCTAAAACCGGGAAGGCCGAGATCTTTCGAAAGACTGTAAACAATGTGAACTCGTTCCCAAACTTGGGTTTTCATGTAGTTCTTTTCAATTAGAACTTCCATGACACTAACGAAGTTAGGCGAGTTAAAAACAGTCCCTGAATAGATCTCGTCACTAATGAGATGGATTTCTTTTGCGTCAATGAAACTAAGAAGGAGCTCAAGCTCATTTCGGCTTAGTGTTGTGCCCAATGGGTTTGATGGGTTGGTCACTAGAACACCTTTCACTCTAAGGTTTCGCCTTTTGGCTTCTAGATAAGCTTCTTCAAGAGCGGCTTCTGTAATTCTGAAGCCATTTGAACTTGTGCACTGTATTGGCACAATCTCAGCTCCAGTTCTCCATTTGAGGTCTCTGTCGAATCTGCATTGCATAATGCAAAAGAACCATCAGTAAAGAACGAATATAGGTAATTATTTTGTAGGACTAGTAATAACTAATGGAAGGTACGTACCCAGGGTAGTATGGGGTAGGAAGGAGAAAAGCGTCGCCTTGGTCAGCTAGACAAAACATGAGAGTTTCATTTGCGGAAGTTGCACCGGCTGTGAGAACGAGCTTGTTTGAATCAAAGCTTACTTTGTTTCCTCTGATTTCTGACATGAATTTAGTCATTGCCTGCATTATAATATAAACATAACAACGTGAGATAATGATGTCACACATACGTGTATATTCATAATACTTCAGAGCTACTCTACATGACTGAGAATAATTGATCACATCACATACATTCTTGAAAGCCGGAAGGCCATGGTAATCTTGAAACAGAGCAAGCTCTCTGAATATTGACTCTCCATTTCTCTTAAACCCAGCTGCGTCCGGGTTTTGTGCTAGCCATGACTCTAATAAATCAAAAGAGAGCTGCAGAAGAAAACATTATGTCAGAAGAAAGAATATGTGAATGCCGACAATCGGAGATGGGAATTTGTAAGAACAGAACAGAAATGAGTTTGTGTTTTTAATTACCTGATTCTCTGCAAGACCCATCTGGATGATTCCTTTAGGATTCTGAACTTCATCGTATGGGTTTTTCTCATACTCCTGCCATCCTAGGAAGTATGAAGAATCTTGTCCGTGAGAGTTGCACGTGGCTTTCTCTGACAGCAGCTTCATCTTTTGTGGTGTTAGTTTCTGGGTATATTTTTGTGAAATAAATATAGCCACAAAGCTTGACTGAAATGTGCCAGCAAGAAGCGAATTAATTAGGAAGAGTTGGACGTAACAAGTAATCACTTGGAAAAAGTTTGAGAGATTGAAGAAATTTTGAAAAAAAGAGTTTGATTTGGAAAGAATAAAGAGTTTAGATGGAATGAGATGGAGATGTTGTTGCTATTTGCTGGCTTATCCTATGCCTATATATAGGAGTTTTGCCAATGAAAGAAACAACATGTCAGCCAATCTCCCCATAATGCTTTGACTCTTAAGCACTTAAATTCCTTTTTAAACAAATACTAATTCTTTTTATTCTATGTCTAATTTGACGCGTTTTAGCACCGCTGAATTTGAGTGTTAAATGTATAGTAATTTAAGGACATTTATGGGTACCGTGTTCTCTAAGCTCATTAAAAGAAAGCGGCACTTACTTGGGACTTCAGTATAGCACTAATGTCTTCATTCTCTATCTAAAAGTATTTTAGTAATAGTTTAGACTTTGAGAACATAACTAATACTTGTACTCCTACTGCTATTGCTATTTGCTACTTCTTTAGATTAATGCATTTGAATATTATGAATAAATATTATTTCAAGGGTAAAATATACTTATGGGCTAGCAAGAACTCGAATGCATATACCAACAAGAAAATCTCAAAGACAACAATTGGTAGAAGTAAAAATTAGCCCATCTAAAATTTGGACCGACGGTGACCGTGCCCTGGTCCATTTGCTCCCTACGATTGGCCCATCTCTTACTGTGTGTCGGCCACTTGTCTCGCCGTCCCCGGTCTCCCCTCACAGGTGGGGCTACAAAACCCAAAACTCATTTTCTTATTTCTAAATCGTTTTACTACGTAACATTAATAGAGTTCAGTATAAACTTAAATTCTCACTTAATTCTTTTATTAAACCTTTACGTGTCGCAGTTCAGAAGAAACTAAAATCTCTTACTGTTCTTCAACATCAGTAGTAATTTTCTAATTTCAAGCAAGCTGGCACGTGACATTCAAGAGTTAAAAGTCAACCTAAGCCGTACGTCAACTAGTTGCCTACACTGAAATGCGCTGTCCAGGTAAAGAAAAGAACTCTTACGCTAGTCATAGCACAGCTGTATGCACGAGTTCAATTTGGTTTGCACATATCGAGCATTCACACGGCTTAATGCGTTTAGACCCAAATTGACATCCAATTTTCACATTTTTGTATAAATGACTCAATTATACTTTACTCAATTGGACTGATTCAATTCGTTTACGTTTAGCATATTGCATACTGCAAATTAATTAGAAAAATCGGAAATGGCAGAAAGCTGGTATATAAAACAGTGGAATGGTAGAGTTCTTTTTGGGGTATTTTCCGAATAGGGTATGGTATGTATGTATAAATGCCCAACAAAATCTTTGTTTTGCAATGGCAAAGTAGAATAATGACAAGAAACGCTAATAAAAAGTTTACTAAGTTGGGAAAGTATGAAAATAAGTACTGCATGATCAATTGAAATTCTGTACTTAATTCTGGAGTATCAACCACTAAAGCTCAGAAATTTATTGTATCGTAAATAAATAAATTCCGTCACTAGTAGTATTAGCCAACAGTTTATTTCAAAATTACATGACGAAGTGGATTTGCGAATATCAGGAGAAGGGATCATAAAAGATGAAGTTTCATCCACTAAAGATCAGAAATTTATTGCAAACGGGTAAACAAGCTAATTCCGCCGGTAGTATTAGCCAACTGATTTAGCTAAAAGGAATGTCTTAGTAAATATTTGGTATTTGCCTCAAAATCACATGGCCAGGGGTTTAGAAGGGTCTGGTCGTAAAGTTCAGTTCAAAGTGATCCTAAAAGAGAAAGGTTCTCTGTAAACTTTTTGATTGCCCTGGTTATTTCGTGTAGCAAAGTTAAGTAAAGAGCAAAGGGACTCAAAATTTCTAGCTTAATATAGTACGTAGTACTCCCTCAGTTTTAATTTATGTGAACTTGTTTGACCGGGCACGAAGTTTAAGAAAAAATGAAGACTTTTTGAATTTATGGTCCTAATTACAAGTCAAAAAGTGGTCCAGAATATTTGTGTGGTATTAAAAGCTTCTCAATAAGGGCAGAATTGGAAGTTTAAACTAAATTGTTTTCAAATATAGAAAGGGGTCATTCTTTTTGAACGGACCAAAATGAAAATAGGTTCACATAAACTGAAACGAAGGGAGTAATAAATAAAATATTGTTCGGTCTTACATAGAGGTATAGCATAGGATAGCAGGGTTGGTAATAGTGGTGTGCTACCGAAAGGGCGCTCCCAGATTTGGATCTCTTTTTGTCTCCTTATTACAAGTTTGAAAAATCTAAAAAAGTGAAAGACAACTCATGATCCTTGCTGTAGCAATGTCCGAATTTTTTACTTTATATTTCTTAGTTTTGGTGTAAAGGACCATTAGACTATGGGAAAACGGATTTCTACTTCAAGTCGATATCTTGACAAAATTAGAGGAAACGCACACTAGCGACAGAAATACTATCATCTTGATTTTTGAGAAAACAATGTTGGTGATTAACTGATAATACGGTTCTCAACCACTTTCTAGTAAGAAGCTACACTTTCAAATGACCACCTAAGCATTTTAGATTATCAGGAATAGCGGAAAAGAAGAAATGATTTATAGAAATGTGAAATTGCCGGAATTAATAAAGAAGTCTATCTGTTTTAAGGGAGAAAAATATATAAAAAACATTCAACTCCTTGCCGTGTAGAAGAAGTAAGGTTGTAATCGTATAGGTGCGGAAACAGGTAGAATTTGTAACATGTCCTCTAAAGTTTGTTCTAATCAATTAATTATCACCATGGAGCCTAAGTGACATGCATTAAGTCAGCGGCAGGCTTTGACCAAAAGCATATGACTCCCAAATTATTAATTAGGCAATGCGAAGTTGACATAATTGATGAGTTGAATTTAGATAAATTTTACATTATTAGGTAATTAACATAAAAGAAAATTACAAGTAATCATTCTTAAAATTAAACTAAGATTGATGACCTGAAATATAAATCAAGTTACATGTTAAAATACAATGTAAAAATTATTTAATGAATTTAAATCTGAGTTAATTACATAATTAGACGCTTACGAATATAATGGACGGATACGCTTATAACGTGCTCCAGTTCTGCCCAACACTGAGGCAGACTTGGTCCTAGAAATGGTGGTCTCGACTGATTGACTTAACCTCTGGATAAGTTTAATTAAGGGACAAGAAATGACATGATCCCCAGCTCTAAAAATGGCGTAGATTCTGTTTCCTAGGATTGACTGCAGTTGTCCCGTTATGGCTACAAACTTGGTTGATCTATCGTTGAGATTATCGTCGTTTGTAATGATTCTGACGAAATAGCTTCATGTTTAATGAGCTAGCTCACATGCGTCATGGTTGTAAGACTTGATACATATTTGTGAGTTGGAATTAATTCTTACTGGTCTGGCCTGGACCATAATGAACGAGTCTTCGCTTCTTGTATATATAAGTATATATAATATGTATGTTTCAAGTGTATTCCAATCTTGAAATAATTAAGCTGTCCAAGAGCACAAATTGCTCTTATATGCATGCAAGGCTTAATTATTTACTGTTAACATTAAAGATTTCATGCATTTTTCACTGGGATAATTTGGCAATGATCAACACAATATAACCTGCGTCAAAATAGTTTAACCTTTCAGTGTGGTAGTGCTAAAATTGTTTTGTTTGATGAGAGGATATTGGCGAGTGAAAGTGAAAGAAGGGAGCATGAAATGATTGAGTGAGGAAATTACATGTGGTTTGTTGCAAAGGAAGGGTGATTAGGGCATGTGAAAACCCTGTTTAAGTGCCCCCACAGAAGTAAGAGAATATGTACATAAGAATTGGGGGTCCATTGGAAGCCTAAAATGTAACTATCCCCTAGGCCAATAGGCTGCTCTTTGTGACAACGTAACGTGACAAATCACATTTATATTAGGTCCACTCCTCCCATTCCTAGCTGACTTCCTAGGAGACATTACCCATAAATGGACCATTTGCTTCCTCCCTTCAGTAACCGTAGCCCCCCCCCCCCCTCCCCTCCCTCACCACCCCCAGGGGGGGCGGTCAAACTAATATTTGCGACATACTTATATCAGAGTCAACGCCTGATCCAGCTAATTAATTGGCTTTTACATAGTAAAAGAAAGATATTAACTGATATATAATAATTGTAACAAGTCATTTGCCATGCATATTTTCATATTACTAATTTTACTTATTATATATGAAATGAATCGCATAACAAAATATTACCACTCTGCTACATGGTCAAAGTCGAAGAGTCGACTTTAATCAAGGATATCTTCAGTAACACAAATTGTTTCGTAGTTAGCATGCACTGACCTGCAAATCAGTCGTGTAAGTAATGTGATTTCTTCGTCTCACAGTTCCACGTCTGACTAGGTCATCCTAGTATTTAGGATCGATCACCACTACTTTGTGGTTCAGTTATATTATCCGATATGATCCTTGATAATTTTGTTGACAGTGTAGGAAAATGGTAATTCCAAAATTCTACCTATTATCTGAGTGTCTAAGAATTTGGATCATATACATGCATCTGAGAATAGAACAGTAATTGGATAAAAATTGTCATTAGTTTCTCTTAGTAATAGCTTATTTCATTGGCTACTTATATGTATCTATGCAAACAGTGGCTATTTCAGTTAAAGCTCTGAATCTAAATATATATAACAAAGAAAACTGAGCAATCTATACTTTGTCTATGTAAAAAAAAGAAGCAAAAATCTGTAGCGATCACAATACTTGTTTACTATTTATTGCCATAACTATAATTAAGCTGGTTTATGGATCTCCATCGCAAAAGATGGAAAATTAAAGGCCCATTCTTGACTTGAGTGCTAAAATAGCATTGCATATTTGCTTCCGGACCATATCTATGGTACAAATGTGATGTAAATTTCACACGCCGAAAGAAATATGAACATGCATGCTGCAATATAAAACTCAAGTAATTCAAGTTTTATCACCGTGTACATGTAGTTAATTATTTTGTTAGGTTTTCCCATGATTAATATTTTATTGAGAGAAAGAAGGGTTCATTAAGAAATATGGAGTGGTATGGGAAGCCATACTCTGGAAACGACCTTTATT